GCTTAATGGTAGAATTCATGGTCAGTATAGGGAAGGCCCTGGGTTCAATCTATAGCACCCTAAAAAGAAAGAGTCACCCTAAATCAGACAGCATATTAAGAGTGACCCATTCAATTAAACAATTTTTCTCCCAAAGATTTAAGATTTCATTTACTACTACTAAGTATATTACCCCTAGTATTTTAACCAATAGTTTATGGTTAAACTATTGAGGCAGTACAGCATGTGGTGCCAGGGATCAACTCCCATCCCTGTGCTTGCCTATTTGAGCAATTTCAATAAATCATTTTAATATGTGCTAGAAAAGCAGTTAGTAAAAATTAAATATGCATTTATAATATTAAAACATAAAGGTATTCTTAGTAACAAAATAAATTCTAAAATATGATATGCGCTCATCAATACTGCAGGAAAAGAAATAAATTAAAAATTTCTTGTGAAGGAAACAAAAGTACTTGCAAATCAAAATCATAGTAGCTTATGTGGTGGCTTATTAAAAATAAAAAGCCAGTCCTTCAGTCGGGTTTCCATTACTAAGATGAAATGCTTTGAGTAATCAATTTACAAGGAGTTTTGGCTCATGGTTTCAGAAGCTTCAGTCCATGGTCATTGGTCCATGGCTTTGAGGTCTGTGAAGAGGTGGCACATCATGGTGGGAACACAGGAAAAAAGAGGACTGTTTGCTTTATGGCAGCTGAGACGGAAAGGAGCAATGTCCCAGTATTCCTTTCCAGGCCTTGTCCTTAACCTGACTTGCTTCTGCCAGGCCTTGCCTACTAAAGGTCTCACCCCTCCCAGTAGCTCCACAGGCCCAAGGACAAAGCTTTCCACAGAGGGCCCTTTGGAAGCCATTCAGGGTCCAACCTGTAGCACAATGGAAATATGTAAAACAATAAGCAGCATCATACTTGGCAGATGGGCCCAGTCATTTTCGCATCAAATTAAAGAACAAGGAAAGATTTAAACTATCCTCTCCTATTCAGAGTTACTCTAGAACTTCTCACCAGTACTGCAAGAAAAGTAGAAAAAATAAGGGACCCTTTCTAGAGGAGGCAAATTATCATTACTTGTAAGTGGAGATCAAAGAGGATATACTAAAATTATACACTATTTTAATCAGAAATATGAGCTTTTCAGGAAGGCATTATAAAATGTTTACTAAGAGAAACAGTCTTTCATAAGCATGTTCAGAAAGGGGAAATAGATACACTATCATAAAGAATGAGTTATCTAGGACATCATTCATAATCATACAGTGATTTTAAGAAAAATCTCAATAGGAAAAATTTGAAACTTAATAAAATAAAAATCAGATTATCATAAAAAAATAAGCAGACAAGAATGTCTACGAAAATCTTGACAAAGATGAAGAGGCAACTTGCTATGCACATCTTTTGGAAAGCCCACAAACTTCTGGAACCTGTGAAAGGTTCCTGAAAAAGACAGTGGTGTTCCTAGGAACTGTGCATGTGATAAAACAACAGAAGACAGATGATTTGGGGAAACAGGGTGAGAGAGAAAAGGATCAAGGTACAGCTCGTACCATACAAACCAGCTTTGGAAAGATCAAAGATTTGCTGTTAACAGTGAACTCACTGCTTTTAAGAAGCTAAAATAATACACTTGAAACATTTAACTGATCCCTTGAGAGCAATGACTTAAGAGATGTGAGTGCATACAAGTGGGAAAATTTTGTGCATTAGAAAGCCAAGGAAAAAATCAAAAGCCAATGTGAAGATTGGTGTGCAACTAAGCACACATTTCAATAAATAAGATAACCTTGGGGCTGGGGAGATAGCTCAGTGGCTCAAGCACCTTCCTGGCAAGCACAACTTCCCAATTTCGATGCCTGCACACACACACACACACACACACACACACACACACACACACACACGATAACTGTAATACCCCAAAACAGCAAAACAGACCAGACCTATGAAACTAAACCTGGGACAAAATGGTTTTCTTTCATAGATTCCATGGTAAATTATAATTTACCATTATTTACCATTTAACATTTCTAAGAGTGCTTACAAAATTGCACAGCATTTGTTGCGAGCACTATGAAAAGGTGCGTATAAAATGGACTTTTTTTTCTCTTCTTTTGAGTTCTTACACTAGGGAGACAACATGATATTTACACATATGGGTCTGGTTTATTTCACTTATGAGTATATCTTCAAGTGGCATCCACTTAAATATAAAGACTATGAGTTTATCATTCTTTATAGCTGAGTAATACTCCATTGTATAAAAATACTACATCTTTTTCATCCATTCCTCAGGTGACAGGCATCTTGGTTGTTTCCAAGATTTGGCTGTCAAAGATTGTGCTGCTATAAGCATAGGTGCACATAAAATACTATGATGTGATGTTTTTACTTCCTCTGGGAAAATTCCCAGTAGGAGAATAGCTGGTTTGAATGGGATTTCCTTCTGATGAGATGGTAAATTGGTACAGCTATCATGAAAGTAGTTTGTCAATAAGGATCAGGTATTTCTCTAACTTTAACCTCAGTAATAAATTCAATTTTTAGGAATTTATAATAGAAAAGATGTGTCACGCCACACAATGACAGTAATCATTATGTGCTACAAACAAGCACTAATAAAAATTAAAATTCAAAAACTGACCACAATTTGCATAAATATAAGGACCCTGTTTAATATAATTTAATTTATAAGCTTTTAGGCATATTCTTGAATAATAAAAAGTCATCTTTCCTGACTTATTAATTTAGTTTATACTTGTATGTTTAGAATTTCATGTAAATATGATATGTTTTTCCACTCACATCAGAGCCTCATTCATATTTGTTTTCCCTACTGAGGACTGAATCCAGGATCCTGGCAGTGAGCTACATTACCCCCCATTCTTTTTTTAACTTTTGATTTTGAGACGGGGTTTCACTGAATCACCAGGTTTCCCAGACAACTTGAGCTTCCATTCGTCCTCCCCAGCACTCTCCCACCAGTGATGGGATTACAGGCATGTGCCACCACACCTGGCTTTTATTTAGTCTTTATTTATATTTTTGTACATCATTGCCATTATTTGTTTCAAGTCCCCATGATAACTGGGCATGGTGGCGCATACCTGTAATCCCAGCACCCAGGAGCCTGAGGCAGAAGGATCTTTACAAGTTGGAGACCAGCCTGGGCTACAAAGTGAGCTGAAGGCCAGTCTGAACTGCATAGGGAAACCCTGTTTCAAGAAGACCAAAAAACAGTCCCCATAATAGTGATTTTACTAAAGTAGTTACTGAATAAAATATTTTAGATTTTAAAATATTTTATTCAGTAACTACTTAACATACTATTAACATAACACGTTTGCCAAACTCTAGTTAACCAGAGCAGTCCTTTGATCATGTCTTATGTAGCATCGCTTACTGAGTCTGTTTTTCAAAGAACATCAACTTCGGTTCCAGCAGGATACACAGCCCTTATTGACCCTGTGTGGGCTGTTGTCTTGTGGAATTTTACTGCAGACCACAGATACTAGTTCACATGATACTAGGAGAGTTGTTTTTTAGCTTTGTTCTGGTGGGGAGGGACATTTTTTATCTCCTTAAGTGAAGCAACTTCCTGTATGACTTTTCATAGAGATCTTTGAAACCATTGTTTACTGTGACATCTAATACTTGAAATTATAAGCTCATATCTCCCAAGAATAATTTGTAAATCTGTCAGGTGACATGTAAAAATATCTAAAACTAGCATTGATTTAGGTAATTTGAAGTTCATGTCTTCCATAAACATTATACTTCATTCAAAAGAAAATAATTGGAAGGTTGTTCTGTAGTACAAGAAATTAAACTTTCTCTCATATGAGAGGTAATTTTAAATTTAAAGAGCTACTTTTACCATATATTGGAATGTGTACAATAGTGAGACATGCCATAAGGATTTATGTACAATTTTTATGGAAACATTATTTTAAAATAGTAAAAAAAAAAGTCAAACATTCAGCCATGAAGGGTAAGGCAACTAATACACATTTGTCAAATTTGATACTATCACTCATTAAAGAAAGCTATACATTAGCCATACACACATACATGTGACCCCAGCTGTTTGGAAGGCTGAGGAAGGGACGTTTCGAGTTCAAAGTCAGCCCGGAAACTTAGTGCAAGACCCTGCCTCAAAATAAAAAAATAAAAAATAAAAAGGGCTTTTGTCTAGCATACCAAGGTCCTAGGTTCAGGACTCCGGGTTCTATCTCAGTACCAGGGGAGCTCCATGTTAGAAGAATGTTTAACAATTTAAGGAAATGCTCAAGACATAAAAAGTGAAAATTCTGATAATAAAATTGTTAATTCACATGTGGAAATGCATCGGAGTATGTATATGTGCATAGGAAAAGAAAAGGCTGGAGGCAGGGATCATCAGAATATCTTGGCCATCATCTTTACATTGCTGTGATATTTGGGGGGATTTGGGTTATCCTGTTCATTCAGCTGATGAACAAACAAGCAACCTGAGTTTGGAGTAGACTACGAAAGGAATGGCGGGCATGCGGGAAAGCAGCATAAGGTGTGCCCGTCCCATTCCCTGTGTAGTGGGTCAAGCCAGGGCTCTCACACTGTGCTTTGTTTCCCCTTGTCCACAGTCGTTTTTCGTGGACCACAACAGTCGAGCCACCACTTTCATTGACCCCCGCATCCCTCTCCAGAACGGCCGCCTTCCCAACCATCTGACTCATCGCCAGCACCTCCAGAGGCTGCGAAGCTACAGCGCCGGCGAGGTAATGCAGTCCCCACCCTCCAGCTGCACTGCGTCTGGCGCTTTGGATGGGTAGAACTAACAGTGGCCAGCATCTAGAGCTGCCTGCTCTGTAAGAGATAAAGCCACAGGCACACTGTGCTCTAGAAGAACAAGTGACCACATGGGGCACCCAGGGGACAACCTACATCTGCCTTCCAATCACTTTCCTTTGGCTTTCCCCTTTGTCCAAAGCACAATCACTAAAATTTTTTTGAGAGTCGCTCCCTGTATACTCTCAGAAGCATAACTGTTTCTAACCAGGGGCACTTATGACTTGATTCCAGTGTGACAAAATGTATTTTTCTTTCATGGGGCCATCTTAAGTAGTATCATTCCAGCATGCTTCTAAAAACATGTTAAGTCTTTCTTTCTGTGCATAAGTAAAGTGTGCTTTTGACTGTCAAAAGGTGGAGTTTATATAACCCTGAATATTATATGGATATCAGGATCCTCTAGAGGTGGATGATTCCAACTAGAGAAAGCAGTGGCCCAACTTCTCCGTTGAACATGCTTATCCCCCATTATTATTGATGGCACTTACGTAATGCTTGAGGAAGTACGAGATACAGTATCTTCGATTATAGAGGATAAGGGCCAGCCAAATAGCTCAGCAGATGAAAACGCCTGTTTAGGCAGATGCAGCAGCTGGGGATTTGATCCCCAGGAGCCAGCCCTACCCCTGGAGCACACTAACACAGTGATTGAGACTGGGAATGGTGGTGTGCGCCTGTAATCCCAGCTCTTGGGAAGCTGAACACAGGTGGATCACTACGAGTCCGATCTACATAGTGAGACCCTGTAGACCCTGTATTAAATGCAAAAAATAAAACAAAGATTATAGTGGATAGATTCAACTCTGTATCAAATCAAAATATGCCATGTTAATATATTTAAAATGCCTAACCTCCTTAATATGATTGAGGCAATATCAGTAATAATATAGAGTAACTACAAGTAAGAAACAAGCTGAGCCAAGCAGGTCTACTGCCAGTATGCCAGTAAAACAAAAACCCCAGCACCCAATGGAAGATGGACCATCTAAAAATATAGATCTCTTCCAGTTATAATGGGGAAAAGTAAGAAGGAAGATATACCATATACAGGTACAAACTCCCTATGATGAATGTTATCATTATGTATATCTAAAATGTACTAGAAAAACTTAGAAAAAGAAATTCACTTGAAAATATAAATATTAAAAACTTCTAATTCAAAGAACAAGATTAAAGCCGGTGGTACCACTTGCATTACCTGTTTCAAAACATTTACTTGATACGATTGAACAGGTAAGTACAGTTCCTCTAATATCAACATTAACAGTAAGGTGACACCAGCAGCAGCCAAGAGCCAGCTGGAAGACTCTAAGATGTGACAGTGAAAGGACTTAATGGTGGGTCAGTCACCTGTCTCCTTCCTAACATGCCCATTCCAGACTCACTCTGAAAGTTAGATGTTCAAACCTCACCTATACACCTGCCCATCCCCAACCTTCTGGTAACTGTAGACTAACATGGAGAAACCAAGAAAAGCAAGAAAGAAGCCAGGGGGAAAGGATACCTGATCCAGAAGCAGCACAGCAAAGAAAACAAAGTTTCAGCATCTAAGGAAACAAATACACAGGTCTTCCTGCTGTGACAGCCGGCAGCTTAGGGGATGAGGAGACAGCAAGGGTTCTGCTGTGAAAACAGAGAAGGACACAGTGAGTCACGTGGGCAGTGTTAGCTGCAGTATGGTCTTGCTTACCAAACATCAATTCATACCTCTGAGCACTGTGGAAAACAAAGAACTATTTCACAATCCTTTAGAAACCAGGCTAAAAATACAGAGTTGAGTGACAAGAGAAATAATAGGATTGAGTGTCATGAGAGACATTAGAAGTGCCACAGAAGTTCAGAAGAGGCCAAGGGTAGTAGATACCTTCTCAAGTAAGGTGTCTGACCTGGAACTCAGAGACTGGTAGCATCTAGCCAGGTGGAAAGAAGGAGAAAGAGCAGCTCTACTGACAGCACAGCATTGGTGAAGTTGCAGAGGCAGGACTATGGAAGATCTATAGGAGATGGGGTCTTCATGTGACCCACACTGGCTGTGTCTTCATTTGGGGAAGGCTTGGCATACTCCCTAAAAGAGCATATTGAATGATTTGAAGGTAGTAATGTCATTATCTTTTTTGTGTAGAAATGGATGCTGTAGGTTACTTCACCTATTGTTTCTCATCAGGAAGAGACTTGGCCTTTCTAGTCAGGCCACTTTTCTGAGATGTGCAATTATCCTATACCATTCCAGGGCCTTTGCTTCCTGTCCTGATCACTAAGCGTTAGAAATGACCCTACATCACCAGTCATTGTGATGGTCAAAACAAACTGAAAATTAAAGCAAAGCAAAAAACCCTGTACTAGTCAATGTTCTCCAAAGAAACAAAACCAGTACAACAGCTGGATAGGTATGTACGTGGATAGAGAGACAGACCCTCGAGCGGTAACTAATTATATTCATTGGTTCTTATTATATGGGACTGAGAAGTCCCACATACGCTATCTGAAAGTGGGAAAACAATGGAAGCTGGTGGAATAATTTAGCACAAGTCCCAAGGCCTGAGACCTTGAAGATTACTGGCTTAAGTTCTGTGATCTGCAGGCCAGAGAGCTTGGAGTTGTGGTATCCAATGGCAGGAAAAGAAGCATGTCCCAGCTCCAATGAGAGTGCTTGAATTTGTCTTTTCTGTCTTTCCATTCTGTCAACCAATTGGAGGCCCTATTCACACTGGGTCAATGTGGATATCATAACTCACTCTGTGATTCTAATGCCAGTCACTTCTGGAAAGACTCACAGGTACACCCAGAAAAAATGCTTTACCAGTTACATGAATATCCTCTGATGCCATCAGTTAACACCTAAAATTAGCTGTCATATCCCCAAGCATTTCCAATGTCCCCCACCCAAGTGATTGGACCACCCTGGTTAAGAATCATATTTTATAGTTAAGCAAACCAAAGAATTCAGGTCACTCAGGAATTCCAGGAACGCAGCTCAGATTTCTTAATTCCCACCCTGCAAACTGACATCTTTAAAAATAAATCCTAAAGGCCAAGAAGAAGGACTGTGCACATAGACTATTGTCAGAATCCAGGGACAGGTGAGAATGTTGCTATCCTTCAGATGTTGAAGGTTGGATGTTAAATGTCCCCCAGAGGCCTTGGTAGCAAAAGCTCCATCCTCAGGGTGTGCTACAGGGAGGTGGTGCAGTCTCCAACCCAAGTGGGGTCTAGTACAAGTCCTTTAGCGATTGGGGACGTACCCTTGTAGGCATTATGCAGACGCTGGCCTTCTCCTTGATTTCTTTTCCCTCCTGGCTCTGAGGTGAATGACTTCACCATGTTCTCCCATCAGTATATGTTGTTCACTACAGGCTCAGACCAATATGACCAATCACTCCTGGAATGGAACCTCCAGAAAAAGGGGCCAACCTTTTCTCTCTATACCTCGATTACCTCAGTACCATAAGACCCCGTGGCAAAGAGACAGAATGCAAAGGTTCATAGTGTAGAGCAAAGAGTAACTGGAGCTTCAATCAGCAGATGGGGGTCCCCATGTTGACTTCTAGAGAAGCTGTGTGTCTTCATGCATCTCTTTACTTTGGGGAGAACCTCAGTTTCCTCATTCTCACATGGAGGATCACCAGAGTCAGTCCCAGTTCTGTGATTATGCATCTGTGAGGCTGGATTTCTAGTTCTGTGGACCACATGGCAAAGAGTCACAGTCCTGGTATCAACCCAGGTAACACAAGCAGGAAAGTTATCAGGGGAAGCCAGCAGGTTTGTCTTCACAGAACGGAATAACAGATATGACAACAGCAAGCTATCCAGTTACAAATGATATCCAGTTAAACAGACAGAAATAAAACACTGGAGAATATAAGTTACTTCCATAGTCCATGATTGTTTTCTACCAATCATCTCCAGGGTGTCCAGTATCTCGGCTCCTGATCAGTACAGGCCTGATGCTCATGGGACCCCTCAGCAGGGGGTGAGAGGTTGAAGAAAGCAAAGCTTTGTCTGCATTTCCAGCCACTCCCCACTGCTTGCAGCATCACTGTAGCTCTGCCTCCTGGCCTCCTGTTGGATCAGCAGGGCATGAAATTGTCAAAAGAGCAGGAGCCCTGCAGTGAGCTGCCTGTAGGAGGATGCAGATAGTAGGTCCTGTGCATCTCCCTGAAACCATTTCTACAACCCCCACCCCCTGTGCAAAACTTATCTTCCACAAAACCAGTCCCTGGTGCCAAAAAAGATTGTCACTGCTGTCATATGCCACAGGTAATGGAAAATTTGCTGTATGTGTTTCTTGGGCTATAATCTTAGTTATCATACTTTGATCCTTTGACATGACATATGTATTTATGACATCCATGAGCTATTCTTCGGAGTGTGGCTCAGCAGTTGATATTTTAAATCTGTCTTACTTAAGGATGTAATCAAAATAATTTTCAACATTAAGGGTCCTAATTTTTACCTAGATGGTAAAAGTTTCACTCTTAAATCCTAAAAGTTATTGATAGAAACACTGCTAAACATGTTTTAGATTGTTTTCTGTTTCTCCTGAAAGTTTTGCAAGCAAATTCTTCAATACAGTTATCAGGAATATAGGACTTATGAATAAAAATATTATTAACACTTTAATTAGCATTTGAGCAGGCACCCATCTATCTGCAGTATGTTTAAGAACCAACAAAGCAGGCTTTAGCTCTGCTCACAACATGCAAATGCATTCAGAAAGTATAAGGGTTGTAACTGTCAGACGCATTCCATCAGTAAGGAAATCGCTAAAGGTTAACAATTGTGTTACATCTTCACTGCCATTAACAGTATCAATTAATATTTATAAAAATCAGAGCATGTTATCTTTATCACCTTATCTTCTTCACATTAGGAAAATCACTAGTCACAGACAATTTCTGGAGATACACATGAGAAAGCTTCACAGTGA